AAAGGGGGGGGGGGGATCAGAAATGATCTAATGAACCCTTACATGATATATCACAGATAAAAGTTGATTATGCAACTAGTTTAACTTTAAGCATGGAGTAGCACAAATCCTTCTTATACAAACAATTTTAACATAAAGAAAGTGACAGTTGTACAAATCTATCTAATTATTGAGATCTTTAGTTTGACATGATACATTAAGCATTCTAACTAAACTTTCTGAAAATTTACTCCAGTGCGTGATGCGTTGTTAGGCGCACATTACTGGTTCAAACCTTACCGCAAACAAAAAACTTGGTATTAAGTGGTAGAGGGGTAGGCCCATTATCCACCAACTTCCTAACTGTGCGCCACTGGCTCTCGAGGATTTCTCGATTATCGAAAAAAAATATTTAAAAATTTCTGTTTAATCAAAGTTAAGAGATGATTGATATAAATTCAGTGATGTGTAAGAAAGAAGAGAAAATGCAAGTTTCTGGAGACATTCTTAAAGAAAAAATAACAATTAAAAAGATAGAAAAATAGTGAATATGAAATTGCATACAACAGAGGTTTCTAGGCTGAATTGATCTTTTTGTATGATCAACAACTTTTAGCTGTCTCCTGACTAGTCCATGTCAAATTTTGGTCATATCCTAGGTGTTTGTGATGAAACTCAAAAATTAAGGGCTGTATGTAATTTCTGAAACAAGAATAAGGTATCTGTAATTTAAGCAAATTTAGAGGGGTTTCGTTTTTCTCCTATTTTTTCCTAAAGGAGAAAAACGTATATTAGACGTTTGACCGTAACTGGTATAGAAAAAGGTATGAGTATATTGTCATTTAACTTTATGTTTAGACAAAATCTCTAAAGATGTCAAGGGTATGTTATATTCTTTAAGGTGTACCTTCCTGAGAGATTATATGTATTATGCAATTAGTATAGTTTAGCAAATACTACCGATAAATGGTGAGAAATGATAAAACAAAACAAAAACTACATTTACCACTTTCTTGATGAAAAATAGAGTGCGCGAGAAAGTTTACTTTTCTAGATTTTCTTTGTGTCTAATTATTAGGGCAATTTGGAAATCTTTGGTTGCAGATATTGTGTCGCAGTGCAAAAGGATGCAGTCTCTGAAAGACATTGTACCGGCTGCATTGAACAATATAAACACAAAATTCATTGTCGTGGACAAAGGGAGGATAGCTTTGGAAGGGCAACAAAAGATGTGTTTGGCACTAGTGGCGGATGAGACAGCTGCAGTTCACTTTCAGATGTGGGGTGATGAGTGTGATGCTTTTGAGCCTGGGGACATTATCCGGTTAGAAAATGGCATCTTCTCTTATAACCGCAACAACCTATTGCTAAGGGCAGGTAAGCGAGGCAAGGCAGAAAAGGTGGGAGAGTTTACCATAGCCTACGTGGAGACACCAAACATGAGTGAGATACGTTGGGCCCCTGATCCCAGCAATTCTAAGATATATGTGCCAGAGGCTGTTATTTCTCCCTTTTCACAAGTGTTTCCGCCAGTGAATTGAGCATTGGGAAATCTTCTTTCGGACAGGCCATCTCCTTTAAACTCTCTTACTTGAATGTTGCATTTTTCCTAACTTGAGCAAAAAAACATCTCATGGCTGAAATCAACACCAAAGTAAAGAGTTACCCATCTCATGATTTCAATATATGGTATATTGAGTTCAGATTCTTTTGAAGGGTTTGTGGATTGTGATGCAGTATACTGATGATCGTGAGGATTGATTCCCAGTGCATTATAGAAAGTAATGCCTCTTTTTCTCTAGCTGGATTGACCTGAGGCTCAGCCTCTTTTTCTGTAGTTGGATTGTCCTGAGGCTCATCTTGTATGCGATTGTTTGATTATCAGCTTACTCTACTTCAATGTGCAAACAAATGAGAAAAGATCCTCAAGTCTGGTGAAGTTTTCCTACCTAGACCAAGATTTTGAAACATCTAGTTTCTAATGAATTAACGTTGCAGCTTTTCGTAGATTCACTTCATTGAGCAACATACTGTGAAAATGGAGGATCAAAAGTAAACTTGTTACATATAGCTCGAAAGTATTGCTTTTTTTTTTTTCAATTATTATTTTTGTTCTGATCCATCCAGGTTAATGGATCACTTAAAAGCGTTTCCTATCTTTGATTTATTTTCTTAGGTGATAATTAATCCCGTGATTAAATTTGAGATTAGTCTATCCCATGTTTGGTTGGGAAAAAATCGTGGTATAACTAATCCCGAGATTAGTTATCCCGGGATTGTAGTGTTTTTTTATCCCTATGGGAGGGTGAAATAACTAATCCTAGGATCTAATCCCGGTATATGGTGTTTTGAAATTTGTATTTCAGTGTGATTGCAGGAAGTAGCCGAAATAATTATTTAGTCTTGTATGAAACATGTCTCCTAGAAAGGATCTTACTTATACAGGCCAAGTTTACTGAGCTTTATAGCTTCACTACTACTTTTATTGTGTTCATGACTAAAATCCAAACTCAGCAGCTATTTAAAAATGTTCTTTTTTTATAATTGTCGCTTTCCTAACACTTTAATTAAGTTTATAACTTCAATCCAAAATCAGCAGCTTTGGGAACCAATTCTCCCAAAACTAAGATATCTATTGAGGAAATAATGCAATTACCTATAAACCCTAAAAAAAACAATTACCCGATTTTACCCATCTTAAACTTTATTATAATTTATACATGTTAGCGGAAACATAAAAGAAAGAACACAAGATTTAACGTGGTCGGATCAAAATAATCCTACGTCCACCAGAGAACAATTGTCTTTTTAATATTAACAAAGGAAGGGGAGAATTCCCAATTACACTTAAGAGAATTTCTCTCTTAACTCTCTACTCACTACAATGTGTTGTATTATTTTTGGGATGGGTTCTACAAATGAAGGAGTGCATCTATTTATAGAGGTAAAGACCTCCTCTTGATGTCATTGGTGACATCAAACTACCTCCTCTTGATGTCATGGGTGACATCAAAGGAGGAAGCTTCCTCCTAGCATCCACACCAACTCTTTCCACCAACTCTTCCAATTGGCATGCCATTGTTGACTAAACATAAACCAACATTTTCAGCATGCCATTGTTGACTAAACATAAACCAACATTTTCAATCTCCACCTTGGTTTGCGTTTCGAGCGTGTGAACAACTCTGGCCAAAACTTCTAAGCTTACTGGGCAACCCCGTTGTAAGAAACAAGAAGAATCAAACCATTGTTGAACATACCACCTCTACCTAACAACTGTTCTCTTCGGAGTTGCATCAGTTGATGCACACCCCCGCCAAGTCCTTGCAGTGTGCAAACTTAGCGAGTGAGACTATCTTGGTCAACATATCTGCAGCATTATCGTCTGTGATAACCTTCACGACCTTGATAGTTCCTTCTTCAACAACATCTCGAATAAAATGAAATCTGACATCAATGTATTTAATGCGCTCATGAAATCTCTGATTTTTCATTAGATGAATAGCACTCTGACTATCACATCTAAGAGTTGATTCCAGTTGAACCAAA